TAACCGAGCGCAATGGTGTTCTAGGATTCATATAGCCGACCCCACTTAGTGGGAAAATACTTTGTTGTTGTTGTTGTCTGTCTAACAAACCGAATAATTAGCGAATTTAGTGCAGATTGAGTACGACCACGATCGCGTCATTGACCGATAGCTTTAACGTTGTTAATGTGTAAAATCTTGAGGCTGAGCCACCTTTGGCCTCTGGTTCCTGACGTCGTTCATACTCTAAACAAGTTTATTTGTTATCCATCGTCTCAGACAATCAATTTGGAGTTGTGGACAAGGAATTTTGGAAGAAGAAGAAGAAGAGCAAGAAGAGCAACAGTAGAGTAGTAATAGGGATGAGGATTTTGGAACTTCCGACATATTGAATATTAGAAAGACATCTTGGTTTTAGTAGTTTGGGAAAAAATTCATTTCCCAAACTTAGCCTGAGGCTCTGAAAAGTGAGCAATATGGCCAATAAAAAATGGTGTATCATCAACATATATCCGTACATATCTGAATAACATGTTTACATCTTAGGAATGACAAACAACTACAAAGTTTTATCCTACTATGTCCTAGAGCCGACAACAACATTGCATTAATCATGCCTTATTAAGCAATTACTAAATGAAAAGAAGCATTAGATTCAAACAATCTGCAAACTGCAGGGATGAAAATCGTTGCAATCTAAAATATAGGAAGAGAGTGGAACATTGTGGAGACTAATGGGACTGAAAACATGTTTTAGCCTGTTAAAGAGGGAATACAGAAGTGAATGAACAATTGATTCTTGATTGACCAGAATGGTGCTGGTTTTGTTGGCCATTCATGGCAACAATACGCCGAGTCACTCTGACTCATTGACTGAAGTAAAATGTGGGGTGGCAATTAGGTACAACGTATTCTCTCTCTTACAGGCCATTCCAAAGCTCTCTGTCATGTCAAGTTCGTCTGGATTCATCCCATTCGCCAGTTTCCAATCGAGGCGGTAGAGCAATTCAGCAAGAGCAAGTTCAACCATGGTAACACCAAATGACATGCCTGGACACATTCTTCTGCCAGCCCCAAATGGAGTGAACTCAAAGTCAAGCCCTTAAAGTCAACAGAAGAACCATGAAATCTCTCTGGCTTAAAAGACTCAGCATCTGCCCCCCATATCTCTGGGTCTCTTCCTATTGCCCATGCATTAATAATTACCTTTGATTTAACTTGTACTTCGAATCCGCCTATTTGAACCGTGTCCCTTGCTTCTCTTGGGAGCAAAGGGGCTGGAGAGTGTAACCTCAGAGTTTCTTTCAACACCGATTTCAAGTAGTCCATTTTTTGAACATCTCCTCCTTCAATAACTTTTCTTTTTTTCCCTTCAAATTGGAGGACTGACTGTCTCACTTCAGCTTGAGCCCTCTTCATGATTCTTGGGTTTCTCATCAACTCTGACATTGCCCATTCTAAGGTAGTAGCTGAAGTCTCGCTTCCTGCAGAGAACATGTCCTGCACATAAAAAAAAAAAATTTCACCTAGTTAGACAGTAAGAACGACATTGATGTGTGGGACAAAATGTGCAGCATGATAATAATTGATTTTCAATTTGCGGAACCAAAATCATGTGTTTTGAAAACGTGAGAATAATTTTATAAAATGATGAGTGACGACGAAGAAAAAAATGTCTGCAGTACAACAAGGCAAGCCTACATTACTCACCATAATCCTATCTGTGATATGATTGGTTATGAAATTGAACTCCACCAAGTTGGACTCTTTAAGTTTTAGAAGTACGTCAACAAAATTTTCCTCCTCCACTGCTTTGTCATTGCTTTTGATTTTATGATCGTTGATGATACGTTCGAGAATCGTATTGAGCTTGCTTTTTATGTCTTTGAGAGCAGGAAACAAATCAGGAATATCAAACCCACTATCAAGTTTGAGTATTTCGTCTAGTAGCGGAAGGAACTCCTTTTGGTCTTTGCATTTTTTCCCAAATGCTGCCTTTGACACTACGCCACTTGTGAAGCTGCAGCACCTGTCCCTAAAATTGATGGCAAGTCCCTCGTGAGACATTGGGCCAATGGACTCGGCAAGATTCCGTACCTCTTCTTCTCTCACGGATCTGAAAGACTGCACACGTGCCGCACTCAATAGCTCAAAAACGCAAATGTAAGCTCATGTGTCTTCAACACCTCCTGGGCAGCTTTGGCAGATGAAATAATCACGGCGTCTAATTGACCGAGTTTAAGGTACATGATGGGTCCATGTTTCTTGGCTAAATCTCTCAGTGTGTGGTGTGGCAGCTGACCGACCATTTGATGTAAGTTTCCAATAACAGGCAGCTTCCATGGCCCTGGGGGTGACTTTAGGCCTCCGGCTCTGGATAGCTTCCAAAAAATCACCAGGATGCAGACAAGGAGAGAAGTGAAAAAAGGAAAATAGGGCGTTTCGTCAATTAGAAACATAACTTGATCCAGATAAGCTTTGATCAATTTCATCATACGACTTTGGGGTATTTTACTTTGCAAATCAAAGCACTTCAATTTGGATTGATATGTTGAAAGCGCTTAAGGTCTTCTCAACTTAAATACTAGTTTTGGACTGGAACAACAAAATAAAATAAATGTATTCGGAGTGCAAATGTGCAAAGCAAGTTCTTAAAATATCACATAATAATGCATGAGAGATTAGTTGAATATCAGAGTGCGCAACGAACAAGACTAACAAATAATAAGAATTTTATTGAACAAACTGAGAATGCCGAGACGGCTACAAAACTCTAAGAGACTACATTGTGAATGACTTTATTCTCTAACTAAATTACAAGCTCTATTTATAGAGCAATAAACCAAAGAAACCCTAATGCGTATATGCCAAAAATACCCTACTACAAAATCAAATCAAATCTCTAATTAATTTCCTAAATAAACCTAATAAATTCCAACACCCCCCGTCAAACTCATGGCGGTACACAACATGAGTTTGCCAACAAGCAGATGTGGATGCAAGCCTCCAAATTCCGATGCCGATGCCGATGCCGATTTCCGATGCCAATTTCAATACGAAATTCCATCGATGCAAGTGCAAGATTCCAATGCCAGTGCAAGATTTCCATGCCAGTGCAAGATTCCAATGCCAGTACCAGTGCAAATGTCGATGCCGATGCTAACAAACAAACAAAAAATCCAACCAAATATTTTTTTTCTTCCTTCTTTCTTCCTTTTTTTCCTTCTGTGCGATTCCTTCCTTTTTTTTTTTTACCTTCTGTGCGAACCAACGTGCGACCCAACATCACCAACCTCCTTCCTTTTTTTCTTCTGTGCGAACCAACATCACCAGCCTCCTTTTTTTTTTTTTTTTTTTTTCGCGAGGGTACGGTTGTGGACGGATCCAGATGCAGGGTGGGGCTGGGGAATGCAGAAATCCTAGTGCGATGGATTCACCAAATTCCTTTTTTCAAAAAACAGAATTTTTTTTCTCCCTTTCTTGAAGACTACCAAGGACAAACTGAAAACCAAACCAGAAAACGTAAAAAATCTACGGACAAGACTAACACAATTTGACGGTCAATACCGAAATCCAAAGACAAAGAACATAAACAGATATCCAAAGACAAAACGAACAAAAACAGAGTGACCAAGAACAAAGGACACAGACCAAAGCGGAAGCGAAAGCCTAAACGAGACCCAAACTAAACCAAAAAACAAAAAGCGACAAAACAAATTGATACCAACAAGAACGGATTGAACCATAAGGATCGAACCCGCTCTGATACCAAGTTGAATATCAGAGTGCGCAACGAACAAGACTAACAAATAATAAGAATTTTATTGAACAAACTGAGAATGCCGAGACGGCTACAAAACTCTAAGAGACTACATTGTGAATGACTTTATTCTCTAACTAAATTACAAGCTCTATTTATAGAGCAATAAACCAAAGAAACCCTAATGCGTATATGCCAAAAATACCCTACTACAAAATCAAATCAAATCTCTAATTAATTTCCTAAATAAATCTAATAAATTCCAACAAGATTTTCAACCAAGATGCTTAAGTTAGCCTGTACAATTTTCTATTTGTCAAGGTATCATAATGAATTTTTATGGATCCCCCTCCCCAACAAAACAAAACCTTTGAAGTGAGGTTGTAACATGGTCACTTGCTGTTAGCTCTACTCAATTATATTTAGTGTTTATTCATCAATATTTTACCTAATTGTATAAGTATAAAGTCGTTGTCCACTTATGTTATAACACACAAATTAAATATATAGCTTGCATATATTCAAGTGTCAATCAATAATTGATCAATTTTAATGTGATCAAATTGATTGGTATTAAAATTAGGCCTTTGGTTAATATATTTGTGAATATGTTAAAAAAAAATAAAATTTGTGAATAATAATGTATGAAATGAGCTTATCTAATATAATTTTTCCCTAAAAAATTGTCAGCATATTTATAGATTATTTGCCCCTTCCACTAACAGTAACACTCTAAACTTATTTTCAAGAACCTCTTTTCACACTAATACAGTATGATGCATGGCATCTTTCATGTTAATAAAATCAAGCGTAGTAGCGTTCTACGATTTAAACAGTCGACCTTACTTAGTGGAATAAGGTTTTGTTATTGTTATTTCATGTTGATTAAGTAGAGGTTTAAATTTTGAACTAATTGTCACATGTGGTCTCATTCTCTTACCTACATGAATTGACTATTCATATGCAACAACTATAAAAAACATCGGTTGGAATCATGATCGATGAATATGTTATCATGATCATTTTTGTATTTGTTTGCCTAACAAACCAAATAATTATCAGATTCAGTGCAGATTGAGTATGATCGCGATCGCATCATTGACCCATAGCTTTAATTGTTAATGTGTGAAATCTTGAGGCCGAGCCGCCCCTGGCCTCTGGTTCCCGATGCCGGTCGTACTCTAAGCAAGTTCATTTCTTATCCGTTGTCTTAGGCAATCGTTATGGACAACAATTTTTGGAAGAAGAAGAGCAAGAAGAGTAGCAGTAGAACACTCACGAGTACATGTATTATTGATCATATATACATATCTGAATAACAAGCTTACATCTTAGGGATGACATATTGAATTAACATTGCATTAATCATGCCTTTATTACGCAAGTACTAAATGAAAAGAAGCCTGGATTTAAACAATCTACAAACTGCAAACTGCAAGGATGAACTGATGGACTGAAAACATGTTTTATTCTGTAAAGGAAAAATTCAAACCTAAAGCCATACACCAGAATGGTGCTGGTTTTGTTGGCCATTCATGGCAACAAAACGCCGAGTCACTCTGACTCATTGACTGAAGTAAAATGTGGGGTGGCAATTAGGTACAACGCATTCTTTCTCTTACAGGTCACTCCAAAGGTCTCCGTCATGTCAAGTTCGTCTGGATTCATCTCATTCGCCAGTTTCCAATCGAAGCGGTAGAGCAATTCAGCAAGAGCAAGTTCAACCATGGTAACACCAAATAACATGCCTGGACACATTCTTCTGCCGGCCCCAAACGGGGTGAACTCAAAGTCAAAACCCTTAAAGTCAACAGAAGAACCTTGAAACCTCTCCGGCTTAAAAGACTCAGCATCTGCCCCCCATATCTCTGGGTCTCTTCCCATTGCCCATAGATTAATAATTACTTTTGATTTAACTGGTAATTCGAACCCGCCAATTTGAACCGTGTCCCTTGCTTCTCTTGGGAGCAAAGGGGCTGGAGAGTGTAACCTCAGAGTTTCTTTCACCACCGATTTCAAGTAGTCCATTTTTTGAACATCTCTTTCTTCAATAACTTTTCTTTTTTTCCCTTCAAATTGGAGGACTGACCGTCTCACTTCAGCTTGAGCCCTCTTCATGATTCTTGGGTTTCTCATCAACTCTGACATTGCCCATTCTAAGGTAGTAGCTGAAGTCTCGCTTCCTGCAGAGAACATGTCTTGCACATAAAAAAAAAAAAATTCACTTAGTTAGACAGTAAGAACGACATTGATGTGTGGGACAAAATGTGCAGCATGATAATAATTGATTTTCAATTTGCGGAACCAAAATCATGAGTTTTGAAAACATGAGCAACCATTTGTGACAGAACCCCTTCATATAATTTTATAAAATGATGAGTGACGACGAAGAAAAAAATGTCTGCAGTACAAGGCAAGCCTACATTACTCACCATAATCATATCTTTGATATGATTGGTTGTGAAATTGAACTCCACCTTGTTGGACTCTTTAAGTTTTAGAAGTACGTCAACAAAATTTTCCTCCTCCTCCACTGCTTTGTCATTGCTTTTGATTTTATGATCGTTGATGATACGTTCGAGAATCGTATTGAGCTTGCTTTTTATGTCTTTGAGAGCAGGGATCGACCCAGTAATGAAAACAAGAAAACTGAGTGAAGGAAACAAATCAGGAATATCAAATCCACTACCAAGTTTGAGTATTTCGTCTAGTAGCGAAAGGAACTCCTTTTGGTCTTTGCATTTTTTCCCAAATGCTGCCTTCGACACTACGCCACTTGTGAAGCTGCAGCACCTGTCCCTAAAATTGATGGCAAGCCCCTCGTGAGACATTGAGCCAGTGGACTCAATAAGATTCCGTACCTCTTCTTCTCTTACGGATCTGAAAGACTGCACACGTGTCGCGCTCAGTAGCTCAAAAACACAAATCTTTCTCAGCGATCTCCATAAATCTCCATAAGGAGCAAAGATAGTACTTGATTGACCAAAAGATATAACCTCTGCCGCCAAAACTATAGGCCTCTGCGCAAATCTAAGCTCATGTGTCTTCAACACCTCCTGGGCAGCTTTGGCAGATGAAATAATCACGGCGTCTAATTGACCGAGTTTAAGGTACATGATGGGTCCATGTTTCTTGGCTAAATCTCTCAGTGTGTGGTGTGGCAGCAGACCGACCATTTGATGCAAGTTTCCAATAACAGGCAGCTTCCATGGCCCTTGGGGTGACTTTAGGCCTCCGGCTCTTGATCGCTTCCAAACAATCACCAGGATGCAGACAAGGAGAGAAGTGAAAAATGGAAAATAGGGCGTTTCGTCAATTAGAAACATAACTTGATCCAGATGAGCTTTGATCAATTTCATCATACGACTTTGGGGTATTTTGCTTTGCAAATCAAAGCACTTCAATTTGGATTGATATGTTGAAAGCGCTTAAGGTCTTCTCAACTTAAATACTAGTTTTGGACTGGAACAACAAAATAAAATAAATGTATTTGGAGTGCAAATGTGCAAAGCAAGTTCTTAAAATATCACATAATAATGCATGAGAGATTTTCAACCAAGATGCTTAAGTTAGCCTGTACAATTTTCTATTTGTCAAGGTATCATAATGAATTTTTATGGATCCCCCTCCCCAACAAAACAAAACCTTTGAAGTGAGGTTGTAACATGGTCACTTGCTGTTAGCTCTACTCAATTATATTTAGTGTTTATTCATCAATATTTTACCTAATGGTATAAGTATAAAGTCGTTGTCCACTTATGTTATAACACACAAATTAAATATATAGCTTGCATATATTCAAGTGTCAATCAATAATTGATCAATTTTAATGTGATCAAATTGATTGGTATTAAAATTAGGCCTTTGGTTAATATATTTGTGAATATGTTCAAAAAAAAAAAAATTGTGAATAATAATGTATAAAATGAGCTTATCTAATATAATTTTTCCCTAAAAAATTGTCAGCATATTTATAGATTATTTGCCCCTTTCACTAACAGTAACACTCTAAACTTATTTTCAAGAACCTCTTTTCACACTAATACAGTATGGTGCATGGCATCTTTCATGTTAATAAAATCAAGCGTAGTAGCGTTCTACGATTCAAATAGTCAACCTTACTTAGTGAGATAAGGCTTTGTTATTGTTATTTCATGTTGATTAAGTAGTGGTCTAAATTTTGAACTAATTGTCACATGTCGTCTTTGTTGAGCAAAAAAAATTGTACATAATATGTAAACAAATAATTCACTCGACACAATTTCACCCTCGTTCATTTCTTGAAGAGGGTTTTATTAATTCGAGTTCAACCCATTCTAGGCTACACGCCTATTAATTACAACCCTTCCTTTGGGAAAGGAACACCCTTTGATTCTAATATGAATAAATCGTATCTTGGGGATTTGGAGTGTTTATTTGATTTTGTGACTGTATCTAGGTAGAACCCTAGATTGCCTACGTACCCTCGTTGAGGGATCAAGTCACTCGTAGTTCCTTGTATGCTTGATACTTGTTTGGATTTGATGCCTTATGCAGTTTTAGCTCATGCAGGCGAGGACTTTAAGCCATTGGAGCATTAATGCCTTGTGCAGTTTTAGCTCATGCGGGCGAGGAGCATTAATGCCTTGTGCAGTTTTAGCTTATGCGGGCGAGGAGCATATGTGGCTTCGTGCCATTTAAGTCTTGTCAAGGCTTCGTGCCCTTTTGATATGGCTTCATGCCATTGAGATTTGTTGCGGCTTCATGCCCTTTGATACTTGATACGGCTTCGTGCCTTTTGATACTTGATACGGCTTCGTGCCTTTGAGATTTGTTGCGGCTTTGTGCCCTTTGAAAATTTTTCTTCGGCTTCGTGCCATTTTGGTATTTGATAGCAGGAGTGAATTTAGTTTATATAAACCAGGGATTCGTTTCAGCTTCACGGTTGCGTCTAAAATTTTGATATCAGACTGCCTACGTATCCTTAACGGAATCAAACCGGCGTAGTTCATTAATGCTTGATTTAGATTTGCATTCTTGTGTTTAGACTTGGCAAAATGAGAAGTTGATTGGGTATTGAGACTTGGCAAAATGAGAAGTCAATTGGACTTGTTTGAAACCCATACATGACCTTTGGTAATATCCAATAGATCTTTGTGAAATGGGACTTCACTTTTTTCTTCAAGTAGCAACCCACATGGGATGCGCAGTACAAAGTAAATAGGACTTTGTCCTTTCCTTGAGTAGAAGGTAGGATTCACGCCATATGGACTGAAAAGGCATTTAAACAGCCTTTTATTTTTGGTTGGTTGAAGGGCTTCCCTCGTGTTATAAATCCTTAGTGAATTAGGATTCATCTTTGGATGGCTTTTCCACATGGTTCGGAAAAGGTTTGATCCATATAACTTCTTGTGATGCATGTTCTTTGAGGGTTCCACGTAAGTACCGTCCCTAATTAATTTGTGAAGTTTGTTTACAGCAAACTTCTTGTTTCTTTTTTTTTTTTTTTTTGGCTTTTCCACCCCATTTAAATATGGGACTTTGAACCCATTTGATTCAAAACCTTCTGACAGCAAGCTTTTCTCTTCATTGTTTTTTTATATATGATTTTAAAGCTTCCAAGTTCCAATAAGACTTGAAAGTTCGAAATCCTCTCTCCCTCTTCATGTGAGGTGCAGCCTTTATTCACCCCTTCTTTTTTTGTTTGGTGTTGCTTTCATCCAAGTGATGCTTCCTTCCATCCTTTTTTTATTTCTCGGACAAAAGACATAAAGACAGCAACTGACAACTTTCAGAGGTCTTTGTCCTATTTTTTTTTTTTGCAGAGCCAATGGTTATTTGAAGTATGCTATTGTTGGGGCTTTTGTAATTGTAAGAAGACACCCTTTTCTTTTTGACTTAGTAATCTCTCTTTCTTGTGACTAACGATGATGGGTAGTACGGAGATGCAATTTTGGGCCAACATCGACGGAGCCTTTGAGGAGTGTAGATTTGTTAGTGTTTTGGAAGGTTTATATTTTGTAGAAATGTTATTGACAGGGTTTTTGGTTATGGAAAAACACAGAAATGTAAGGAGGGATTTTGGCTATTGCAGTCTGCTCTCTTAGCAGCTCATAGCAAACATATATATATGCTGTCAGTAGGGTTTTGGTATACAAGGTCAGATCTTATCTCCATTTGAGCTAGTTGACAAAAACCACAACTACCATATAGTACTAAGCTAATCTAAGCCCTTCACTGGAACTTTTAATCTAAGCCCTACACTTGTAAAAAAACATTACTTAAAAACAACTAGCCATTACAAAACTAGCCGTTAGCATGTTGCTGCTTCATTTCTTCGATCAAACTGGAAGTGTTTAGCATCCAACACTCCCCTCTAAACTCTTCCTGGTGTTGACTCCAAGCAGGCTTCGAAGGTATGTGAACCTCTCTTTTGGTAATGCCTTTGTAAAAATGTCTGCCATCTGATCTTCAGTTCTGCAATACATTAATTCAATGACATTTTCTGGTAGTGCATCTCTGATAAAGTGATACTTCCTCTTTATGTGCCTTGTTTTCTGATGAAAAACTGGATTTCTTGTCATTGCTATAGCTGAGGTATTATCACACATTAGCTTAGTTGGTTCAACTTGCATTTCTCCAAAATCTTTTAGAACAAATCTCAGCCAGATTGCTTGAGATGTTGCTTCTGCAGCACTCACATACTCAGCTTCGGCGGTTGATAGTGCAACACTTTGTTGCTTGACTGAGGCCCACGAGAACACACCAGAGCCAAATGTAAAAGCATATCCTGATGTGCTTTTCATATCATCTTCACTACCTCCCCAGTCACTATCACAGAAACCAACCAGAATAGCTGATTGTCATTTTTCATATTTGATTCCAAAATCAATTGTTCCTTGCACATACCTGAGTACTCTTTTTGCAGTTCCCAAGTGTATTTTGGTAGGACTATGCATGAATCTTGAGAGCAGGCTTGCCACATACATAATGTCTGGCCTTGTTGCTGTGAGGTATAACAGGCTGCCAACAATTTTCCTGTAGAGATTTGCATCCACTAACTCACTTCCATCCTCACTCTTGAGCTTCTCATTTGCAATTAAGGGAGTGCTTACTGGTTTGCATCCCTTGAGTCCAAATTTGTTCAACAATGTATGTGCATATTTCATTTGATGAATGAAAATGCAATCTGATTTTTGAATCACCCCTATTCCAAGAAAGTGGTGAAGTAACCCCAAATCTATCATCTCATATCTTCTCATCATTTCATTTCTAAATTCATCCACCATTTTCTTACTGTTTCCAGTAAAAACCACATCATCCACATAGATGGACACAATGAGAGTTTCTGACTTGTTCTCAACCTTGGTATAGAGTGTTGCATTTCTCCAAAATCTTTTAGAACAAATCTCAGCCAGATTGCTTGAGATGTTGCTTCTGCAGCACTCACATACTCAGCTTCGGCGGTTGATAGTGCAACACTTTGTTGCTTGACCGAAGCCCACGAGAACACACCAGAGCCAAATGTAAAAGCATATCCTGATGTGCTTTTCTTATCATCTTCACTACCTCCCCAGTCACTATCACAGAAACCAACCAGAATAGCTGATTGTCATTTTTCATATTTGATTCCAAAATCAATTGTTCCTTGCACATACCTGAGTACTCTTTTTGCAGTTCCCAAGTGTATTTTGGTAGGACTATGCATGAATCTTGAGAGCAGGCTTGCAACATACATAATGTCTGGCCTTGTTGCTGTGAGGTATAACAGGCTGCCAACAATTTTCCTGTAGAGATTTGCATCCACTAACTCACTTCCATCCTCACTCTTGAGCTTCTCATTTGCAATTAAGGGAGTGCTTACTGGTTTGCATCCCTTGAGTCCAAATTTGTTCAACAATGTATGTGCATATTTCATTTGATGAATGAAAATGCAATCTGATTTTTGAATCACCCATATTCCAAGAAAGTGGTGAAGTAACCCCAAATCTGTCATCTCATATCTTCTCATCATTTCATTTCTAAATTCATCCACCATTTTCTTACTGTTTCCAGTAAAAACCACATCATCCACATAGATGGACACAATGAGAGTTTCTGACTTGTTCTCAACCTTGGTATAGAGTGTTGCTTCACTGAGGCTTTTCTTGAATCCACACTTAGTGAGATGTGCATCAATCTCACTGTACCAAACTCTTGGTGCTTGCTTCAGGCCATAGAGTGCCTTCTTTAATCTATACACTTTGCTTTCGGACCCTTTGACTTCAAAACCTTATGGTTGGTCCACATAGACCTCTTCCTCTAGTACACCATTCAAGAAAGCAGACTTGACATCTAACTGATATAGCTGCCAACCCTTCTGTGCAGGTAATGCAATTAGTGTCCTGATTGTATTTAGTCTAGCCACAGGTGCAAATGTTTCATTAAAGTCAATTCCAGGCTTTTGAGAGTAACCTTTAAC